TTTAATGCTTATTTGCCAACATAGGGTGGTTCAACTTCTCTCCACCCCCAGGAAGGATCAGTGTGTTGTCGGTGCTCCCAGGATATACCAGCCCTGCTCAGGCCTTTTTACAGAGTGAATTTAATATAGGGGATTGCTTTCATCGGCATCGAAGGGCCCAGAAGGCAAAAGGGAAACACAGAGGTATCAGCTGCTGGAACGAAGGGGTGTGGAGACAGGGGTCTCAGACCTCTGAGGAGGGGCCACCCCCCTGCTGCTGGACCCTCAGGAGCTCAGGGAGGTGGCGCTGAGCCCCAGCTGTGTGACTTGGGCAATTTATCGAAACTCTCTGCACCTCAGTTTGCTCCCCTCTGTGAAGTAGGATAATAACCATGTCTGCCTTTATGAGATCGTTGGAAGGATATAATGAGTTTAATTCACTATAATGAGTTTAATTCACAGCATAATGCTCAGAAAGATCAGAGAAGGCCCTGCCTAGGGGTAGGGATGAGCAGGAAGGAGAGATAAATGCTCAGCCCTCAGGGTAGGACGGAAGGACAGACAAGCTTTGGCTAGTCTTGTCCACGGAGACTGAAGCGCCTGTTACAGAAAATTTTCGACTGCAGTGGTTCCCACCTGGGGGCAACTCGCCCCCTCCCCTGCCCCCACCCGACGTCTAGAGACAATTTTGGTTGTCACGACTGGGGCGGGGGGCAGGGCGTGGGTGGGGACCAGAGATGCTGCAGGCCAGCCCTCACCACAGAGAACAATCCAGAGCCAATTGTCCATAATGGCCAGCTTGAGAAACCCTGTTCTAGGGCCCAAGAAGTTCTTTACCTGTCTGATCTCCCTAAGAGCTCCCAAGAACTCTATTCAGAGCTGCTACTCTCACCTCCATTTCACAGAAAGGGAATCTGAGGCCCGGTGGCTTGCATGAAACTGCCTGGGTTTGGTCTTGGCTGTGGGCTCTGCACAGCCACCCAGGGATCTAAGGACATTTCTTCTGAGCCTCCGTTCGAGCCCTCCCTCTCTGAGTGCCCCCCCACCCCCCATTTTGACCTGGGTCAGAAGAAGACCAAAGCAAGCACCTCTCCTGAGGCTGGACAGCCGCCGCCGCCCCCGGGACATCTGATCTCCAGCTGGGAGCAGGGGAGACGCGGTTCTGGCGCGTCTGAGGGGGCTGGGGATGCTCTGGGGGCATCAAAGAATGTCCAGATCTCTCCTGACCACAAGCCTGTCTGTCCTTCTGTCCTTCCCTGAGGGCTGGGCATTTATCTCTCCTTCCTGTCATTCCTTCCCCTAGGCGATGGCCTTCTCTGATCTTCCCAGCAAGTCTGCCTCTTATTCGGTCATGTATGCCCTCCACTGGTGTTCCACCCATGCAGCTGAGGCCTGCTTTGGAATAAACCGCCCTCACCCTCACCCCCACAGACTTTTTATCTGACCCTCCCCGCTTCTAAAAACTCTACTGTGGCTCCAGTGACCTGGGGGTAACGTCCCAACTCCTCCTCTGCCACTCAATCATCCTTTTTGGTCTGATTCTTCCAGCCCCAGCACTGATCACGGGGGGCTCGGAGGGTGTGGCTCCGCCCCCCCCACCTTAAGACTAGGGGCTTCAGAAGCTTTGGGGGTCCAGCATTGCTCAGCCTGAGACCAGATCCACTGAATGAATGAGTTCATGAATGAATGAATGAGTTCATGAATGAATGAATGATGATGCTCCGGAGGCAGCTCCCTGGCTCCCCCAGGGTCAGAATCAGCTTTGCTCCTGCCTTCCCCACAGAGTCAAGGCCAGGAAATACTAGCTGACTCTAACAGCGCAAGGACCCAGAGATCAGAGATGTGCTGGTGCCTCTGCCAAACATCCCATCGTTCCCCTGCTGCATCTGCCCCAAGGGGCTGCGGGGATGACGTCTTGTGTTCCTGACCCACACAGGAGGCGGATAAGAGGGAAAACTGAGCCACCTTTCCCTCCAGGTGGGCTCTCTCCTGCCAGTGAATAAATAACTCAAAGGTATTGGAAGTCACAGGGAGCTCAGTTGGAAACTTGAATCCGCCTCTTGTTAACTGCTTGCCCTCTGGCAAGGGACGTCTGTCTGAGCCTCAGTTTTCTCATCTGTAAAATGGGTGTGGCGACTTCCGTGGTGGCACAGGGGCTAAGACTCCACCTGCCAATGCAGGCGACACAGGTTCATGCCCTGGTCCGGGAAGATCCCACATGCCGCGGAGCAACTAAGCCCGTGCGCCACAACTACTGAGCCTGTGCTCTAGAGCCTGCGAGCCGCAACTACTGAGCCCACGTGCCGCAACTACTGAAGCCCGCGCGCCTAGAGCCCATGCTCCACAAGAGAAGCCACCACAATGAGAAGCCCGCGCACCGCAACGAAGAGTAGCCCTCGCTCGCCGCAACTAGAGAAAGCCCGCACGCAGCAACAAAGACCCAGCGCAGCCAAAAATAAATACGTTTATATATATTAAAAAAAAGAACAGAAGCAATATTGTAACAAGTTCAATAAAGACTTTAAAAAAAATGGGTGTGAAGTGTTGAGGGGTGAAAGGAGAGGAGGAATGCAAATAAAAAGCTTAGCCTAGTATTTTTTTTTAAATATTTATTTGGCTGCACTGAGTCTTAGTTGCGGTATGCAGGATCTATTTTTAGTTGCAGCATGGGAACTCTTAGTTGCAGCATGTGGGATCTAGTTCCCTGACCAGGAATCGAACCTGGGCTCCCTGCACTGGGAACTCCACAGAGTCTCAGCCACTGGACTACCAGGGGAGTCCCTAGGCTAGTAATTTTAAAAGTCGTCTTCCATTTCCTTCGGAGAAATCATCGAAGGGGAGCATACCCAGCAGGGAGGAAAGACTTGTGGTTCTTATCTCTCCTAATCCATTTATCAAAGATCTGGGTCTACCCCTTATCTCCTTTCTTCCCCTGCCAGGCTATATCTCTTGGAGCCACTATTCCCCATCCACACCAGTTTTTCAGGCTCCTTTTCATGAAAGAATTGTGGGTGGTCTGCGTCAGTGTGGGCATCTGGGCCAGGCACCCCTTGGGCTGCCTGGGCTTCAAGTTTATAAGTGGGTTCCCCTCTATTTCCCAATTTCTGTCTGCATTTCTGATTCTCTGCCTGTATGTCCACCATTCAGTCGTTTGACAGATGTTTCTTGAGTTCCTACTATGTGCTAGGCATCGCTGGGGACAACGCAGTGACTAAAACGGACCCGGTTCCTGCCTTCACAGGGATCATGGTCCTGTGGGGGAGACAGTTACAATTGGGGCGGGGAAAGGAGGAGGTGTTAGGGTTGTGATGGGGGCAGCCCAGGACACTGTGGAACCCGGAGTAATAACCGAGGGGGGGAGGAGAGGGTGCTGGAAAGCCTTTCTGGCTGAGAATATTGAGAGAACGCTTAAAGGACTTCCCTGCTGGTCCAGTGGTTAAGACTCCTCGCTTCCACTGCAGGGGGCGCGGGTTCCATCCCTGGTCGGAGAATTAAGATCCTACCTGCCGCGCAGTGAGGCCAAAAAAAAAAAAAAAGTCAAACCTGTCCACTTCCATCCCCAGGCCACACATTTTTGGCTTGGATTGTGGCAACGATCTCCTAACTGGTATGCCACCCTCAACCTTAACAATCATGAATCTATTCTCAATCCTACAGCCAGAGTAATCTGTCTAAAATTCAAACTGAATCATGTCACTCCCCTCTAAAAATCCTTCAGTGGCTTCATTACTCAAAAGATCAAGCCCAGGGGCTTGATTGGGAGTCCGCCTGCCGATGCAGGGGACACGGGTTCGTGCCCCGGTCCGGGAAGATCCCACATGCCACGGAGCGGCTGGGCCTGTGAGCCATGGCCGCTGGGCCTGCGTGTCCAGAGCCGGTGCTCCACAGCAGGAGCGGCCACAGCAGTGAGAGGCCTGCTTACGAAAAAAAAAAAAAAAAAAAAAAGATAAAGCTTATATCCTTTTAAACATACATTATACCCATTCTAGAGCTCGGGAGACTGAGGCCCCACGAAATGGATTCGTCCCAGCCGGAAGAGCTAGGAGGGGGTGGGGCTGGGGCTGGATCCCGTGACTCTGGCTCCAGAGTGCAGTGGAGTGCAGGCCTCCACTGCAGGTGGAGGCCCGGAGGCCGGGGGAGCTGCACCCTACGCTTGGAGGAACTTGAAACTGCTTGCGTGGTGACCCAATCGTGGGAGGGCTGTTGGAAGGAGGACGGGGAGGGGTCCAGAGCACAGGCCTCAGAGTCGCATGCACTTGACTCACTGTGCGCCCCAGAGCACCTGCGTCCCCTCTCTTGGCGGGTTTGTCGCCTGTGAAATCGGAGATTTGCCCCGCCTCCTGCTCTGCTGCGATGAGAATATCCAAGTGGGGCGCTCGGCACAGTCAGCGCTCATTAAATGCCAGCTGGTGTTAAAATTCTGATTATCCCCATTATTATCGTTAATAACTAAATAATTAGAACCAATGCGTTCTCTCTGCATCCGATTGGGTCTCTCCGCCTCGGGAATGGGGCGAGGTCGGACTCAGACCTCTCTTCCACCCACCCACGCCCCGAACCCACCCCGTCTGCCCCGGCCTCCAGCAGGCAGGCCTCGTAAATTTGCAGGCAGGCTGAGATGGCGCGGGCCTGGAGACGGGGGTGTGATTAGGGGTGCCCTTGGCGTCGTCCCCCACCTCCGTGGGAGGGGTCCGCAAACCACTGTGAAATCGTCGGGCGCTAGGACCCAGCAGCCCCGTCGGTGCCGGGCGTCGAGGCCGGGCTAACCCCGAAACCACGCCTCTCCTCGTGATGATTGGCTTTCCGTCCCTGGTCCGTGGCCCCGATTGGCGGACTCGGACGCCGCTCCCGGGATTCCCCGCCCCGCCCGAGCTAGTCTCGGATCCACCGGCTTTGTCGCCGCAAAAGCGCTCGGCGGGGCGGGCGGGGCGGGAGAGGGCAGCGAAGCAGGGAGAGGGGGGCGCGGGCAGCCCGGGCCGGGGGTCCAGTCTGCCGGCGCCGGACGGACGGGCCGAGCCCGGGGCGTCGCCATGGGCCCGGGGCCCCCGGCGGCCGGAGCGGGGGCGCCCCCGCGGCCGCTGTCCCTCGTTGCGCGGCTGAGCTACGCCGTGGGCCACTTCCTCAACGACCTCTGCGCGTCTATGTGGTTCACCTACCTGCTGCTCTACCTGCACTCGGTGCGCGCCTACAGCTCGCGCGGCGCCGGCCTGCTACTGCTGCTCGGTCAGGTGGCCGACGGGCTGTGCACGCCCCTCGTGGGCTTCGAGGCTGACCGCGCCGCAGGCCGCTGCGCCAGCTTCGGCCCGCGCAAGGCCTGGCACCTGGTCGGTAAGCCCCGGTCCGGACTCCCCCATCCGCCTGCCTGGCTCAGGGCCCGAACCTAGCCCCTCTGTCCCACTGCTCCGTCCTCTCTAATTGCCCAACCCATGAGCCTTCTCATCTGTCTGCTTAACTGCCCAGTACCCCTTCTGTTTGTCTGTCGCATGGCTGCCGTCTGACTGTTCGTGTGACCGTCCGGTGTCACTTTTCTTTGTCTGATCCTCCGGGGCACCCTGAACCCTCTCTGGGTTGGGTCTACTGCCCGCGCCTCCTCTGTCAGTCTGTCTGTTCTGGCCTGACTTCATCTGTACCAGGGTGACCACCCAGGACAACTCTTGAGTCAGGCTGCCTAGAGTCCCCTCTGTCTGTCTGTTCCCCCAGTGCACTTTGTGCGTTCATCCCCTCCCTCATCTCGGGCAACCTGGCACTTGGTGGCTTTGGGGAGCTGTCCTGGGAACTGGGTTGGGGACCGGGTGAGCCAGAAGGGTCGGGGTTCTGTGCTTGTCCGGCTGATGGGATGGGGGTCTGCAGAGCAGGTAATGGGGTCACCCTCTGTTTGTTATGAGGGAGTTACCTGGACTAGAGGGTTGTTGGTGAGGGGAGGAGGTGGGTCCCACGGGGGCCGGGGCACCCTCCCCGGTGCACACCCATGATAAGGCCCGGCTCCTGGCATCCCTTCTCTGCCCGCCCGGACCCTGGGCCCTGAGATTAGCCCTGACCACTTTGCCTGCTGTCCTTTCGCTGGCAGAAGTACCCGCCGCATCCTGGCGCTTGGGGCATGCCTGGCATTTAAGGAGGCAGAACCAGGAATCCTGCCCGCTTCTGGGAATTCTGGGCAGCAGCTTTCCAGAAACCAGGAGGGCCGGCTGGTATCTCCTTGCCCTTGGGAACAATGACTGAGGAGGCAGTGATTTGCCTTGGCCCTCATGAGGGACATTTTTCCAAGGTACAACAGATCTCCAAGTTGCCTGCAAGTGGCTGGCATTGCTGTGGCCGTGGCTTAGGGGCTGGATTTCAGTTTCTTAGACACTGAGGATGCACAGGCTGTTCTTGGGTCACATTAGGCTAGCAGCCCAGGTGCGGGGGCGTGGCGGGAGCAGGGAGCAGGGAGAGGCATGTGACTCAGACCCCAGACAGAGGTATCCCTCTGCGGGCTGCGGTTGGGATTGCTTACAGAGCTGAGCCCAGAGTCTCAAATGCAGTTTTGTTCCTAATAGTTGAGTAGACCCGTTGACACACAGAAAAGGTAGTTCTTGGGTCAGAGAGATGTGAGGGCTGTTTTCTCTGCGGCAGACAGGTGAGCCCCTTCTAAGGAGATGGAGTCAGCCACAGGTAGGTTTGCCTGGCAGTGGACGCTGCATGTGCAAAGGCCCTGAGGTGGGACCTCGTAACAGCCTGTCTTCCCGTTTTGTAGGTCGGGGGCTGAGGTTCAGCGACGGCCCCACCTGACCCCAGAGGGAGATGCTGAGTCCCCTTGCAGAGGGGAGGTTAGGGTAGTGGAGGCACCTTTGTCAGTACACTGAAGGCTTTGTGTTTATGCCTTCAGCTTATGATGGGTGCCCCAACCAGATATCAGGGCCTCCACCTGTGCCCTCTCCCTGCATGTGCAGAGATCCAGGAAGATCTGTGGAGAGAGGAAGCCAGGGCGGCCCCTTGTGATGCCTGATAAGGTGACTTGAGTGAAGGTCACCTCGGCCACAGTGCTCACTTCTCTTTTTTTACCCAAGTCTGTGGGTGGTGGGGACAGACTCATTCTTTCCCTTAACAAGCCCTCGGGGCTCCCCGTCTAGCGCAGAGAGGACCCGGAAAGCCGGACATGGACACTCCTGTCGGGTGCAGGCTGGGGCAGGTGGATAGACTGGGCTTCATAGGAAGAAGCAGAGCTCTGGAGGAGGGGACATTAGCTTTGGGGTTTTGAAGGACGAATAGGAGTGTGTGTGTGTAGGGGGGCATTCCAAGTAGTTGAAACAGCTTTTGCAAAGGTGTGACATCTCATGGCTTTGAAGTTGCTGAGACAGGAAGTGGCTCAAAGAAGTAGGAGCTCCCGATTTCACACATTAACTCTTAATTCTCATGCCAGTTTTGTGAGGTATTTTCATTAGCTCCCTTTCCTGGAAACGGAGGCCCAGAGAGGCAGTCACTTGCCCAGAGTCCCCCAGCCAGGCAGCCTGGCCCTGACAATGGTTAACGTGGCCTGGGCAGCAGCAGGGTAGAGTCCGTCTGGCCAGGGCAGCACATTCTTCTGACCAGAGTCTACAGTTCCTGTCTGGCCCCGGGGTGGCCTCCAGGCCACCAGGAATCTGCCTGGGGTGCCTCTTCCAGGCACCAGTTCCAGAGAAATACCAAGTATGGTTTTGGTTTCATTTCCCAGTCCCTGGACTGTTGGGGTGGGCCCAGGGTCTGGGGGATGAGGTCACCTCCGGGGCCTGGTGGGGAGGAAGGAAGTCTGGCTGCAGGCGCTCTGGGATGGGAGGAGAAGGGTGGAGGGCTGGAGGGAAGGAGCATGGCTGAGTCCAGCAGGCTGGCCTCGCAGCTCTGCAGCTCACTCAGTGGGCCTCAGTTTCCTCATCAGGAAATGGGTTGGTTTAATAATAACGTTCACCTCTTTGGGCTGTTTTAAATAGAGACCACTATTATTATTATTCACTCATTCAAAAAATCTTGATGTACCAGACTCTATATTGGGTGCCAGAGACACACAGAAGTGACTTGGAGAGACCTGTTACCCACCCCCCAGACAGAAAGACAAAAGAATTCCTGTGTGTGCAAAGGGATATGAAGGAGAGAAAGCAGGGTTCAGACAGAGGTTGTCAGAGTGGGGAGGGGACTGCTGGTGACTGGGCTGGTCAGGGGGGCTTCTTTGAGAGGTGGCATTTTAGTTGAGTCCTGGAGGGATGAAGAGGAGTGCGCCTTGCTAAGATGTCATGGGAAAAGCATTCCAGGTAGAGGGGACAGCCTGTGCAAAGGTCCTGGGGCAGGAGGAACAGGGAGGAGGCCCGGGTGGCTGGAGCAGAGTGAGCGAGAGGGAGGAGGGGATGGGGCAGGGCGGGTGGTGCAGGCCCCTTTGGGACCTCGGGGAGAACTTGTGCTTGTTCTGAGGTATGAGTGTTTTCCAGGGAGAGGCACCTGGGCCTCCTGACTCCTGGCAGCCCCATGGGACGCCTGGTAGGAGCTGGGAGGAAAAGGCCCCCTCCGTGGGTGAGGCGGGAAGGGGAAGTGATGGGGTAAGTGGCGCATCTGTGGTGGGCAGTTCCCCAGGGGACCTCCACAGCGCCCTTTCAACCTGCCGCGTGGCCTCAGGCTCGGCTTGTTTCCCCAGTTGTCACCAAGGGGGCAAACTTGGCGAGCCCTGAGCCAGCATAGCAAGGCCCCATTCTTGCCCCCTATCACCTGGCCCTGCCCCTGCATGGTTACAGCATGTGGCCGGCTCTGTGTCAGTTCCCCCCATCACACACAAGGGGTGTAGGGCCTGGACTGGGAGGCCCAGCCCCTCTGTCCTGTTTGGCTGTGTGTCCTCAGGGGGGCCCCAGATCTCTCGGCCTTAGTTCCCCATCTGTCACAGGGGCTGTAAGCCTGGGGAGCCCCGGGCTGCTGACGCCCACTCACTGTGTGACTTTGTTGTGTGTCTGTTTGTGGAGGGGGTCTCTAACCTTTTCCATGTCTCGGTTTTGTCCCCACCCGCTCACCTGGGGAGCCCTGGGCCAGCGTGGGAAGGCCCTGCAATGTGCCCTCCCCGCTCTGCTTGTCCACAGGCACTATCTGCGTTCTGCTGTCCTTCCCCTTCATCTTCAGCCCCTGCCTGGGCTGCAAGGCCACCACGCCTGAGTGGGTTGCCCTCCTCTACTACGGGCCCTTCATCGTGATCTTCCAGTTCGGCTGGGCTGCTACACAGATTGCCCACCTCAGCCTCATCCCGGAGCTCGTCACCAACGACCATGAGAAGGTGGAGCTCACGGCTCTCAGGTGCCACCTTCAGGGCAGGGCGGGCAGGCGTGCAAAGAGCAGGCACGGCGGGGGGCCCGGGGCCACCCTCCCATGTCTGGGCTCTGCTTGGCTGTGCGGCTCTGGGACTCTGCCCCAGCGTGGGCATCTGTAAATTAGTGTATTATTCGGCCGTTTCTGCGTAACAAATGAGCACCAAGTTAGCAACTTCAAACAGCACACATTGACCACCTCCTGGTTTCTGTGGGTCAGGAGGAGTCTGGCTTAGCTTAGCTGGGTTCTCAGCGTTAGTCTTGAGGCTGCATTCAAGGTGTCGGCTAGGGCTGGGGCGTCATCTGGGGCTTGGGGTCCCTCTACCCTGCTCATGTCATTGTTGGCAGTGTTTGTCTTCTTATAGATTTAGAAGTCTTGGGGGCTGGGACTTCCCTGGTGGTCCAGTGGCTAAGACTCTGAGCTTCCACTGCAGGGAGCATGGGTTCGATCCCTGGTCGGGGAACTAAGATCCTGCATGCTGCACGGCGCAGCCAAAAAAAGAAGTCGTAGGGGCTTGCTGCTGCTTTGAGGCCAGCACGAGTCTCTCATCTCAGGGATGGTGTGAGCCCACTTTCTGAGGGTCACCTGATTAGGTCAGGCCCACTCAGGATAATCTCCCTTACTTACATCCACAAAATCCCTTTACCTTTGCCACAGACAGTTACCTAACATGGGCTTGACATCCCATCACATTCACACATCCCGTTCCCCAAGGGGAGGGGGTTAGAGGGGGCAGGGGGGCAGGCCATGGGAATGTCTGAACCATCTTAGAATCCCGCCTCCCACACGTGGGTACAGCTGGCGCCCAGCGCGTCCGTTGACTTGCTTGAGGTGCTGAAGGAGGTGATTCTGCATGTGATGGTAGCAGGAACACTTATGGAACGCTTGCTGTGGGCTGGGCACAGTTCCGGGCCCGACGCACAGAAGATCTTGAATTCTCACGACAAGCCCAAGAGGTTGTCATGTGCCTAGGGACAGGGTTGGAGCAGAGTGGGGCCTGTGCAGTGGGAACAGGGATCAGATGACAGTTCTCGGCAGGAGGGACGTCACGCATGAAAGTGGCCGTGTGGGCATAAGCGCTCGTCATGAGGGCCCTGCCTGTCTGAGCCCAGTTCCCCATTATGGCCAAGAGCTGCGGGCACTAACGGCAGGGGTTGCTCAATGCCTGGGGCCCCCGAGGGCCCCGGCTGAGGGGGACAGGGTGGGCCCGGTAGAGGCCAACCTCTGGGTGCTTTCTACCCGCAAGTGCTTTACCGCCTGCCTCGTGTCATCTTCGCCTTGACCTCTGCGGGTGTTCTTGTTCTCACTTTCAGAAAGGGAAATGGATTCCTGGTGAGATCCAGAGGCTTCTCGCTCCGGCCAGGGCCCTAGGCAGGACATGGCTCTGGGGCTGCAGGAAGGAGTGGACTCGGATGACTCTAGACCATGGAGCCCTTGCCCAGCTGAAGCCCAGGATTTCTGAGTATCTTGGGTTCTCAGGCTTCTGGGTTGCAGGCCTGACTTGGCCCTGCTTTGCTGAGTCTCTACATTCAGGCCCCAGGCAGATGGGACCTCACAGTGGGGTCTTGGGCCAGAGAAATCAGATACATGCAGGCTGGGGAAACTGAGGCCAGCAGAGGCTTTCCTGGGCTACCCAGTGTGTTGGTGGCTGAAATCACCTGGCCGGAGGTTCCCCAGACGCCACAAACAGCTCTGACTGTACGCCTGCCTGGGGAGTAAGTGGTTGCGTGGCTCCCAGGCTGCCCTGCTGAGGCCTTGCCTGTGCCCTGGCAGGTACGCCTTCACCGTGGTGGCCAGCATCACCGTCTATGGGGCTGCCTGGCTTCTGCTCCACCTGCAGGGCTCTCCCCACATGGGGTCCACCCAGGATGTCTATGACCAGCTGGGGGTCCAAGATGTGCCGGTGTTCCGGGTGAGCTGGGGCCCGGGGTGGGCCAAGGCTGGCTGCTGCCCGGGTGGGACAACCCCAAGGCCCTGGGCCGAGAGTCGCTGCTGACCCCTCTCCTGCCCGGTCCCTAGAATCTCTCACTGTTGGTGGTGGGCGTTGGAGCTGTCTTCTCACTGCTGTTCCAGCTGGGCACCAGGGAGGGGCGCCGGCGGCAGGTGGAGGAGCCAGATGAACACAGCCCCCTGTTGGCCCCTGCTACTGCCCGGCCCTTGCTGCTCTGGAAACACTGGCTTCGGGAGCCGGCCTTTTATCAGGTACGTCATAGGGGCAGAGGGTGTTGGAGTTGATGCCCCTCTCCCACCAGGCCCTTACTCTGTGCGGCTGCAGGCAGGGATGGCAGACATTGAAGCAAACGTAGCCCCTTCTCCAGTCACACCCAGGGCAGACATTACTAATGTCACTGCTCTCTTCTCCACCTGACCAGCTAGGCAGTCGCTACTAATGGATCAGGCGCCAGCTGCAGGGTTACTCACGTTGGCCCCCAGTGCTCCCCACTTAGGGGAGTAGAGGAGGGCCCCCTCTGACCCGACCCTCTGTTTACAGGTGGGCTTGCTGTACATGAGCACAAGGCTCATTGTGAACCTGTCCCAGACATACATGGCCACGTACCTCACCTACTCCCTCAACCTGCCTAAGGTGAGCCGGCCGGGCGGTGGGGGTGCGGGGCCCCGAGCCTCATGAGCCACTCCTGACACGCCTGTGCCCGCTCTGCCCCGACAGAAGTTCATCGCCACCATCCCGCTGGTGATGTACCTCAGTGGCTTCCTCTCCTCCTTCCTCCTGAAGCCCGTCAACAAGCGCATTGGGAGGAATGTGAGTAGGCCGGGCAGAGGGCAGGGTGCCTTGCGCGACCTAGGCGACTCCAGACCACGGCCCAGCGTGGGAGCCAGAGGGTGGCCGTCGTGACTGAGGAACTGAATGCTTCATTTTGTTTCCTTTTAATTGAGTTGCGTTGAGACCCAGGTAGCCGCGCACCTCTAGTGCCAGCCGTAACAGCGTAGCCCTAGAACATCTGCTCCATGGAGCTTGGAGCACCTCTGAGGCTCAGAATCTCAGAATCCTCTGAGGTCAGAGCTGGGGGCTCCTTAGGGATAACCCAACTCAAACCCCCCTGGGCTGGGGTTGGGGGCCGGACTGAAGATCAGAAAGGGCAAGTGCCAGGCTCAGGGCTGCCCAGCAAGGCGGGCCTGATGCTGGGCCGGGCTCTCTGCAGATGACCTACTTTGTGGGCCTCCTGGTGATCCTGGCCTTCGCAGCCTGGGTGGCACTGGCAGATGAGCTGGGTGTGGCTGTGTATGTGGTGGCTGTGCTGCTGGGCATGGGCTGTGCCACCATCCTCGTCACCTCGCTGGCCATGACGGCTGACCTCATCGGCCCCCATACGGTAGGGCTGTTGAGCCAGTCCGGGTTGGGGTTGGGGACCAGGGCTGAGGCTTGGGATGCTGACCCCCTGCCCGTGTTCCCTCAGCACAGCGGAGCCTTTGTGTATGGCGCCATGAGCTTCTTGGACAAGGTGGCCAATGGGCTGGCAGTCATGGCCATCCAGAGCCTGCACCCCTGCTCGTGAGTACCCCTATCCATTCGTTATTGCGTTTAATGAGCTGTGCTGAGGCCGTGCTGTGCCCCAGGCGCTGCCCCAGGTCTGCTAATTCCATGAGAACAGAAGACCCTGCCCCGGTGGCCTCACAGCCAGGGAGACCGGGTTATTCCCCACCTCAAGCACCCATTTATTTACTGAGCTGACAGTCTGTCCTGGGCCGGGTGCTGAGGACACACAGATGGATCAGGGGGATGTGAGCGGACAGGGCAGAGGGAGAGCCTGGAATCCCCGTAATTCAGACCCTCAGAACCTAGGGTTCCAGCCCCAGATGGTTCTAGACCTGAGTTTGCACCCTGTAGAAGCCCAGGATTTGGGAATGAAAGCTGGCCTGGTCCTCTGTCCTCATGGAGCTGGGGACAACACGAGCCCCATGAATAATCTCATCAATAAATGTGTACAAAGGGTGTGAAGGACACCACTTGGGGAGGCCTGACTGGGGCGAGAAGTCAGGAAGGGCTGCCTTGAGGTGACATGGGACCCAAGACCTGGAGGATGTCAGGGAGTTCTAGGCATATAGGGAGGAACAGCCTTGTGCAAAGGCCCCAGGGCAGGACTGTGCCTGGCACGGTGGAAGGACAGCAACAAGGCCCTTGTGGCTAGAGCAGAGTGAGCAAGGTGGAGAGAGGCAGGGGAGGGCAGGGAGGGGACGGGTCATACAGGGCCTTGTGGGCCACGAGGACTTGGGTTTTTGCCCCAAGGGAGGTGGGCCCCTGGAGGGCTGTGAGCAGAGGGGGCGGGGCCTGAGTCAGGTGCTCACAGGCGCCCTCTGGCGGCTACTGCGGGGAGGACAGACGGGCAAGGGAGGGTGGGGACAGGGAGGGGACGAGGATGGTGGGGGGGGGCAGGTGGTGACGGGGCTGGATCCTGAGGGAGGAGAAATGGGCAGTCTGGGGTAGACCTGGAAGGCAGAGCTGACCTTACTGACAGAAGTATCAGCTGTTGGAGGGGAGGAGGGGGTTGAGGGCAACCACTTGGTCCTGGCCTGAGTGCGGGGAAAGATGGGGTGCCCCAGCTGAGATGGGAGGAACAGGAGGTCCAGGCTGGGGCTGGAAGGTACCGACAGGCGTCTGCTCACCCGCTTCTGCCCTTCCCCTGCCCCCAGCTCAGAGCTCTGCTGCAAAGCCTGCGTGGCCTTCTACCACTGGGTGATGGTGGCCGTGACGGGTGGCGTGGGCGTGGCCGCCACCCTGGCTCTGTGCTGTCTTCTGGTTTGGCCCGTCCGCCTTCGGAGCTGTGAGTTGCAGGCCCCGCCACCCCACAAAAGCCCCAAACCAGCTATGGGTGTGTAGGTCTGGGCCAGGACAGGCCCCGCCCTCCCTAACCCCACTTCCACCCTCTTCTCTTGCAGGGCACCCTGCAGCCCAACCTTGACACTGCCCCATGGTCCTTTACCCTTTGTAAATTAACCGCGACTGTGAGCGCTCGCTGCCCAACGAGGCCTGCAGCGGCCCCTTTGCTGCTCTGATCCCACTCCTGTGTCTGTCCCGCTCCTGCCTGGCTGCGGGGTCGGGTGGGGCTTGGTGGGCGTGGTCAGAATGGGCGGGATACCAGCAGCTTATCCCTGCTAAGGCAGGGACACCGAGCTAGGCCCTCTGGTATTCAGGGGCTGGTGGGGTCCTTGTGGGTCTGGGGAACCCCAATCCCGACTCTAACCCATCCCCAGATGGCTGAATGATTCGGGGTGCCGTGTGTTGTGTGGGGGCCAGATGTGAGGCTCCTGGGCGCAGGGCCTGCCCCGAGCTCAGCCCCGGCCAGCCTAGGGTCTCCCGGGTGGTAGTACCGGGTGCCGCCAGGCCCTGGAGGACAGAGCCATTGCTGAGCCTGCCAGGATCCCCAGCATTAGGGTTAGGGGGCAGGGCCCAGACCCTGGCCGTGGCGATGGTGAGGCTCAGCATGCCGGGCCGGGGCCCCGAGTGCGGCTCCCTGCGCCCAGGCCACTGCTGACAGTGAATAAAGAGCCGCCTGGGGCCAGGACTGTGCCTTGGCCTGGGACCCAGGGTAGGGGGAGCCGAGGGCAGGAGAGGTCGTCTGTCTGACTCTGCCCTAAAGTTTGGTCACTAGGGTCCTGGTTCAGAGCTCCCTTCCTCTGGCTGCCTGACCTCCCCAGGCCCCAGCCCGAGGTGGACAGACGCCTTGTGGGAGAGGCGCCAGGTCCCTGAAGAGCCACACTGGGCAGCACGAGATCTTTATCAGTGACTGGGCGTGTAGACGCGTGGGGGCTGCTGGTTGGTGGAGGGGCAGCAGAGTTCCAGGTCCCACTGCCGGTAGTTCTGGGTGGTGTAGCGCGGGCACTCGGGCGCCGACAGGTATGGCACGTAGTCACACGCCTGCCACAGCGGCTTGACCCCAAATTGGTGCCTGTGGATCACTGGGGGGCCAGGACCCGGGTCACCGGCTGGCCCCACCTCCTGGCCCCCGGCGTCTCACCGCCAGCCCCTGGGTCGCCTGCCCCCTGGCCCAAGCTCACCGTACTCCTCGTCCCGGATGGGTCTGTCTGTCCACAGCACGCTCCCGTACTGCGCGCGGGGGTCCCTGTACTGCGCAGGGATGATGGGGTCGTACCAGGCGGTCTCCCGGAGACGCTGGGTGTAGGCTGTGGGGTAGGGGTCAGGGGTCATCTCTGCACCTGTGGGCGTCACGCCCCCCCCCGCCCCCCCAGGCAAGCCTGGTGTCAGGGAGGGCCGGGCTGGGCACTCACTCGAGGGCACGCTGGGCATGCTGCGCTCCCAGGGGCTGTGGCATCCGTGCCTGCGGGCATAAGCCTCGAAGTGCGGGCTGTCCAGAGTCTGAGAGAGCATGTTCCAGGCTTCTCGGGAGTCCGAGTTGGCCAGGCCCATGTACCACAGCTGACCGGCCGCGTCGCGTCCCATGGGTGTGTACTTCCAGCACATCTCCTGCTTCATGGCCGGCGTCTGGTGGGGCCCCTCCTGGGACAGGTTGTCATTGCTGAGGGCGGGGGTGGGAGGAGAGAGACTGAGTTTTCGACACCCCCTGCCCTCGCTGGGCCTCTTCATCCCCATCACCAGCACTGAGGGTGCAGAACGCAGAAGCCTGGCCCGAGGTGCGGGGGGCCTTGTCTGTCCTTCAGTACTGGACACCCTCCCACCCAGGCTGGCAGAGGGTGGGAGGCTGACCCCCTGTAGCCCCTCCTCTCTGCCACATCCTCCCCAACCCCCAGGACCTCCTAAACATTTCATCTTTTCTTGCCTCTACTAAGTCCTTTGCCCAGCCTCCCAGACCTGCAGGCCCTTTCCTCCAGGAAGCCTCCCTGGCCTGGAGGTGCACCAGGAGGACGTGGTCTCAGCTATGGCTCAGTGAGTGGTGCAGGTTTCACCGTCATTGGTCTGGCCTGGGAGCCGTGGGTTGGGGACACTGGGACAGTGTATGGGGAGCCCAGGCTCCCAGGGAGACCTTCGGGGTACCCTTGTGCCATCGCCACCCGCCCAGCTATTGGGGCCAGCGGGGAGTGAAAGCAAGCTCACATTTAAAGGAGAAACTATTGCAGCTACACAGGAGTGCCTGTTCCAGGGGCCTCTGTTGCCAGAGCCCGTCCCAGGCTGAAAGCATCAGGAGGGCTTGCTCCCCTGAGGAGGTGGCAGTGATGTGAGGAGGGTCCCGCTTGTGCAAAGGCCCTGGGGCAGCAGGGATGGTGTAAGGAACAGAGGCTGGCAGAGCAAAGAGGGAAGTGGAAATATGCTAACGATGGCAAAAATCAAACCTCAATGAGATACCATCAAAACTAAAGCTATCCTTCGGGAACACCCTTACAGCACCACTGCCCAAGAGACAGACATGGGCACATGCTCTGACCTGGCGAGCTCGCTCCAGGGAGATGCCCTAGGGAATGAGCCCGTGGCCCCAAGATGGTCCAAGCAGGGCTGCTGATAAAACGTTCTCCCCTGTGCCTGCTTGAAGTTCCCACTCCACACGGAAAACCAGAAACCCACGTTTCATAAGAGGTGGGCTCGGCCTGGTCAGTTCCAGGAAGTGGCCGCAGGCTGGTTTGCCACTTGCAGGGAGGGGAGTTTGGGGACCGTCTGGTGGGCCCCACTCTTTTGAACTACAAAATGAACCAAAACTACAAAACGCACCTGGCTTGTAAAAAGGAATTAAAACAGTCAAAAAGAACACACAATGAAAAGTGAGTCTCTGTGTCAATTACACCTCAAAAAAAACTAATAAAAGAACATCGCGTTATGGCTGGAAAACATTTTTTTCTCATAGTAAATGAATGACTTTTTGACCTAGGATCAAGAAATCTAATGGCATTTAAATAAATAAAAGTATTGGAAAAAGCAGTGAGTCTCCCTGACCTAGCTGCCAGTCCCCTCCACCAGGGCCGCCACTCTTACTGGTTTCTGCTTCATTCCAGAAGCAGCGTGTAGGCACGAGCCATTCCATCCCATCACACGCCTGTGGGAACCTGCTTCTATCGTGGTGGCACAGCTTTTTTTTTTTTTACTTAATTTTCTTGGAAATGGAGCAGCAGCAAGGGCACTGACTCGCCTTTTCTGTAAAGCAGCATGGTGACCCATTATAGTTTATTAACACTTATTAATGGGTCCTCTAATGGGTTGAACGTGTCCCCCCAGTTCACGTCCACCCAGAATCTCAGAAGATGACCTTACTTGGAAATAGGGTCTTAGCAGATGTAACTTAAGACAGGGACATGCCGGGTCAGGGGAGGTCACGAGACAAGGGACGCCACGGACTGCCAGCACCCCCAGAAGCCAGGAGGGACACGGGGCAGATGCTCCCTCACGGCCTCAGAAGGCCCCAGCCCTGCTGACACCTTGGTCTTGGGGCTCCTGGCCCCCAGAGCTGGGAGAGGTAAATTCTGTGCTCGAGGCCGCCCCCTTGTGGGGTTGTTCCAGCAGCGCAGGGCTCCCGGGAACCTATCTGCTCTGCTGGCTGGCTGTGTGTGTGTCCTGCATGCGTGAACCACCACGTGTGACCTGCGTGTATTCCTGCCAGGTCCCAGGCCTGGTGCAGGTGGGTGGGGAGGGTGCAGGGAGCAGGTGCAGCACCCAAGTACCTTTATGGAGAATGAAAGATGCTGGTGGGAAGCAAACCCAAAGAGGAAGTGCAGGGGCAGGACGTGCTCACCTGTATAGAGAGATGCCAGGAGGTTCACTTCCAGGGTCCCCCAGGGGACGTAGGGCCGGGCAGCCTCCTGCCTCAGGGTCTGCATGTCTGCCTCTCGGTGCCCAGGGGCTCCTGCCTCCAAGGCCTGCGGGGCCATTGTTGACAGCTACAAAGGCAGCCCGGCGTCCTGCCAACAGCTGGGTCTGATGGCCACCATCCAGGCCACTGCCTCGCCCCCAGCTGTGGGGCCGAGCCGCGAGAGCAGAGGCTGGAGGAGGAGGTGGGCACTCCTCTGGGTAGGGCCGACCTGGGGCTCAGCCCTCCCACCTCTTTGCCCCCCAACACAGCCGCATGGGGGCCTCCAAACCCAATGAAGCTTCTGAATTTCCTTTCCACAACCTCAGCCCTACCCTTCCAGGTGCTCAGGCCAGCAGCCCTGCAGCCCCCAGTTCCTCCCTTCTCACTCCACCCCCGTCCAGTCCTTCATCTGTTTCCAAAATACGTCCAGCACGAGAATCTGCACACGCGTGTTCACAATGGCACGATCCACAACAGCCAAAGAGCAGAAGCAACCCAAATGCCCACCAACTGCAGAACAGAAACCCAAAACAGGGTCCCTCCACACACTGGAACGTTAGCCGTGAAAAGAGGTGACGCGCTGACACAACCTTGAGAACACAAAGCTCAGTGAGAGAAGCCAGACACAAAAGTGTCTGATTCCATTGATGGGAAACGTCCGGAACAGGCAAATCCACAGACACAGAGGGTGGATTCATGGTTGTCAGGGGCTGGGAGGGGGATGGGGATGACTGATAATGGGGATGGGGCTTCTTTGGGGGGTGATGGAATGTTCTGGAATTAGATGGTGGTAGCCAGCACAACACAGTAAATGTACTAAAACCCACAGGATTGTACACCTTAAAATGTTACACACGTTTCACTACACTTTAAAACATTCACAAGAAATCCAGAACCTGCCTGCCTTTCACCATTTCCACCTGCTTGTGGCCGCAGTCCTGTCATTGCCTGCCCGGGCAGGGCGTCCTCCTTGGTCGCTGCGCCCCTGCCCACCTTTTTCCAGGTCTCCACACCAAGGGGAAGGGTGTCCCTTCCCCTCTCTGCCCACAGCCCTCCAGGGTCCCGCTCTCCCTTCTGGGGTAACAGCCCAAGTCCTCCCCAAGGCCCTGCACAACCTGCCCTGTCCCCTCCCTGCCCTCCCCTCCTCCCTCTCTCCCCCTTGCTCACTCTGCTCCAGACACAGGGGCCTCCTGGCTGTTCCTCCAGCTCACCAGGCACAGTCCTGCCCCAGGGCCTTTGCATGGGTCCACAGCCTGGAGCACCAGCTCTGCCCGGGTGTGTCCGTGCCCCCGCTCAGGCCCTTGCTGACATGTCAGCCCTGGGCTCAAGCTGCCCTCTCCCAAGGTCCATGCCACCCTTCACACCGTGACGGCCACATGCACTTACACTCGGTCGTCCACTCCCTGACATACAGAAGCTCCTCAAGGGCAGGTCTGGGCTCTGGCCTCCCTTGTCCCTGGCTGCCCAGGATGGGGATCTTCCCCGGGCTTGCGGGGAGGGCATGGGGTGAGCCACCAGTTGTGGGCAGCTGCTCACTGCAGAGCCTCACCTCCCTTCCTTCTCAAGACCCCTGGGGCCCCCGGGCCCGCAGGCCCACCCAGTGTCACAACCCCTCTGGTCCAGGCTGCTTTCCTCCCTGGGGCCTCCTGGCCCTCCCCACGCACAGGGTGCTGGGCCAGCAGTGTCCCTGCTGGCCCCGGAAGCCCATCTGTCAGGCAGAAGTGCCGCCCCCTCTACCCTGGGCCAGGCCTCGCTATGTGCTCAGACCACCAGCCCCAGGCCCACCCTCCACTTCCCAACAGAACCAGCCTGGCTGCAAGGACTGGCCTGGATCATGGGGCCATGAATTCAGGGACCCCGGCGCCCCCTGCTGACCGCCTCTGAGTGGCCCCCGCAGCCTCTCCCCCAGAGCCAGCCACTCCCCACCGGTTTGTGACATTCAGGCCGCTCTGGGGTCCCGGTGTGTGCAGACTCCAGATGGATCGAGAGACAGGCAGCCCCAGCTGGGCACGACGCACATGGTTTAATGACGGCGATGCTGAATTCCAGGAGGAGCGAGGTTCACCTGCGCCAGGCGTGCAGTAGACAAAGGACTGCTCTCTTATTTAAAAAAAAAAACAAACAACAAAACTCAAACAAAAATAAGATCTGGACCCATCGGAATACACACATCTATGTACACTGTTCCTGCTCGTCCCCGCCCGTCCCCAGCAAGCAGCCGGGATGGGCTGGGAGGCGGGACCCACCCTTCCCCAAGTTCGTGCAGGCTCAGCCGCCTGCCCCTCCGAAGAAGACCTTAAGAGATGTGACCTCTGTCTCCCCCAGGGGTAGGGGTGGGCCACTGCTCTCCCCCAGCAAGCCTTACCATTTTGGGGACTGATTTACAGAAACACAGAAACAAATCCAAAGGAAAGTCACAGATACACATATACACATGCACACGTGTGGCTGGCTGAGCGGAGCACAAGGCCCTCACAACCGGAGGAGCGGGGGCTCCGGCAGAGCCGGGGTGACCGGTGGGGCTCTGCGGGGCCCTCCCTGGCCACACTGGACCCCCGCCCTGCCCAGGCCACATCCATCAATGTCCTCTGACCTGGGAAGGGGAGAGGGAGGGAGAGGAGAGGCAGGGTGGCTGCTCAGGCCCCCGGCCACACACCGGCCCCACCTCCCTCCTCCGTCTCACCTGAGAACAGGGCAGAAGAGGACAATGAGGTGGCCCAGGGTCAGGGGGAGCTCAGGAAGCTTCTGGGGGAAGCCTCAGGTGCCCCCTCCCCCAGCCGAAGGCGCAGATGGACAGGACCCACTAGGGTGGCCTGGAGGAGACGGGGCTGGGGAGGAGGGCTGGGCGCCCACAGGACCTGACCCGCAGGGTCAATTCTGCCCTCAGGTTACCCTGACCTGCCGCCCAGCAAGCTGCAAGAACCACAGTGGGCTGTGACCCCGTGAGCGACAAGGACAGTTGGGGCGAGCCATCATGGCGAACAGGTCCCACATCAGTCTCCCTCAGACAACAAGTCCGCCTCAAGGTGACCTCCTTTGGCGTGTGGCCTGCTCCCAATGCCGTGCCCCTGAAAGAGCCACCGGTCGGCTGCTGGGGCAGGGAGAGCAGAGGTGGCTGCAAAGAAACCTCTCGAGTGGGGACGTCGTTTCGATCCACGGGCCAACCTGAGCCGCCATCCTGCCAGGCCCTCCCCCGGCCGACCGGCCTGGTGTCCAGCCATCTGTCCCGTAGCAGGTGTGGGCAGCAGTGAGCACGAGTTTCCGGGCAGAGCCTGAAGCCCCAGCGAGGCGGTGATGGACACGGACGGAAGGAGGCGGCATCCAGGAGGCGTCCATCCCTCTCCGAGAACAGCCGTCCGAGCCGGGGCCACCCAGGGTGGAGGGATCCAGAGGCCCCACTCCTGCTGGTGCCCGAGCCCGGCCCCACCCCAAACACCGGCTGACAGGGTTCACAATCAGGCTTTAATAGAACCTTCAGGGTCTCTCCAGGCCCGGCTCCCGCCCCACCCTGGCTGCCTGTCTTCCTCTGGGGCCCATGTTCGGGGGAGGGGAGGGTCCATGCACGCTGAGAGGTGGCGCTCTGCGACCAGGACAGCACGGCCATGGGTTTACCGGATCCTGGTGAAGAGGTTGAGGACGGACACGGATTCCTGCAGGGCACACAGGAGCGACGCTGAGCCCTCGGTCTGGTGACCTCCCACAGGGGCCAGCTGCGGGCCTGGGCCGCTGGGCTGGTCGCCAGCCGCTTGGGCACGGGAAGGAAGTTCTGCCTCGAGGGACCCCGAGGCTCCGGGCCTGAGGAGGGGCCTGTGCGGGCACCTTGCACGGCCAGTGCCCCAGGATGTGCAGGGACACCAGGTGATGCAGGAGGAGAGAGGGGGTGTGGGGATCCCAGGGAGGGCACAGCTGACGGGGTGACTGGGGCTGGCTGAGCGGCGGGGGCGGGGCAGGAGGCCCCAGGACAGGCTGAGGGCACGCACGTGGGGGAACATCTGGCGCTGATACCGACCCACTTTACCTTTGTCGAACGGGTTTTGCTAAAGACATTCCAGAACCTCAGGGTTTCATCTCCAGCACCAGTGACTATGGCCTCTCCGTCAGGGGACATGGCCTGTGGGAGAAGAGAGACCCCCCCCGCTGTCCCTGTGGCCTACGGGCAAAGCCGTGAGAACACAAAGGATGCTACACCCCGCTCTGTGCAACTGAGCAAAGGATTTGCTGGTTTAAGCACAAAACTTTTTTCTAGAAAAAATCAAAATATTGAAGAGTGAATGGATTTGGGGAGGGGCTCCTTTCTCCAGACACACGCAAATGGTTATTTGGTGAAACATCTAGAGATGATCTGAGGGGTTGGATGTGGGTTAGTCGTGGCATCTTCTATTTTTATGTGGAAACAAACACCTGGAGATTATAAAGGCAGGCAGAGCTGCCCCTGCTCACAGGGCAGGGGCGTTGGTGAAACAGATTCAGAGTGATGATCCTGCACCCTACCGTTCAGTCCCAGAGCCCGAAGCTGGACCAGATGGAGGAACCGGGCCCAGCTGGGGAGACTCACCAGGTAGAGAACCCGGTAGGAGTGCCCAGTCAGCTTGGCCACCTGTGTCAGGGATGGGTATTTCCAGACGAGGATCTGGTTCTGCGAGTAGCCGTGCGTGCTCACCTAGGGGACACAGAGAACGCTGTCAGAGCCTGGGGCCCCCCCCTCCAGTGGGCCCAGGGTGCAGAACCCCCCAGACACAACCACCGAGGCACAAGGACACCAAGGCACGCCCGCAGGGTACAGAGACCACAGGTGTCAGCCCTCAGCCCCGCACCCTGGTCGATGACTGGCTCCAGACAGGGAACCACACTGCACATGAGAGCCCTTGGGCCTCTCCTGCGGTCACTGGGCACAGGTACCGGGTCAACTTCTGCCAGACCTGGATGGCCGAGGCCTGGCCTCCTGCGCCCCACACTCACCAGCTCATTGGCGTGCTTGGACCAGGCGAGGTTGCACACCTGGGAGCCGGTGTCGATGCACTGCAGCGGCTGCCCCGTGAGAGTGTTCCAGAAGCGGATGCAGCGGTCAGCTGTGCCGCCGCCGGATGCCAGCAGCCCGTGCTGGTGCGGGGACCAGGCAATGGCCTTCACGGCCGCCAGGTGCTCTGTGTACTGCTGCACGGGGCTCAGGCTTGAGTGGTTCCAGACCAGCAGCTGTGGGGACGGGGCTGTGAGGCCCGGGCAGCTTGGCCCCCAAGGGAAGGCAGGGCCCATCTTGGCCTCCCTCGGGGTGCACCCCTGTCAACCCTGCTCCATGGCACGGGGGCCGGCGGGGAGGGAGGGAGGGCAGGGGCTGGGCCTACCTTGTTGTCGTTGCCCCCTGAGGCGAGCAGCTGGTGGTCCGTGGACCACTTGAGCCCACACACCTCCTGCCGGTGGCCCTGCAGCCGCCGCTCTGACTGCAAGGGCGGCGTGCGGATGTCCCTCTGCAGGATCATGCGGTCCCGGCTCCCAGACGAGAGCTGGTCGGCATT